GCGAGCTTCACCAGCAATACCATGACCAGTTTGAATACATGAAGGCTCAGCATGCTTCCGACACCGCCAAGATTGACCAGCTTCTGTCTCATGTCACTCGTCTTTCGGAAATGGTTACAACCATGTCTGCCTCCCAGGCGGCGCTCCAGGCCGACTTCCTCAAGTTCAAACAGCAGCCTGTCCATGAACTTTCCGGTATCCCCCAGAACGTTGGACACGGTCAGAACATGCCCCATCACGGCTATGCCAGCTCCAACCAGCATCACCCTCAGGCCAGCCACACTGGTAGCTACCACCCTAGTCAAGCTCCTAGCCAGGCCGCCAGCCAGGCACAGCAGTACATGGGCAGCCCCCAGTACCTTCGTGGTTCTCAGCAAGTGAACAGCCCTCAAGCGTCGCAGCAGGCATCTGACTACGTCGCTCCGGCCTCCAGCGTCAGCGCCCTTGCTGGTGCCTACGCCAGCCAGCGTAACCAGACAGAGCCCGAGGCTGATCACGACTTGATGCAGCGCATCAGAATTGTTGAGCAGGCCATCCAAGAGAATCGATACCAGGACGCCATGATCCAGTGGATCCAGAGTGGACGCGAGGAAGAGATCTTCCGCCGTTGCCTCAGTCGCTTCCCCCCTGCCAAGTTCGAGAATCTTCCGCCCTTGATGTTGCTTGTTGTTATTGCCACGATCTCCAAGGACCTGAAACCCAACGCTCGTCTCAAGGAGGAGGTCGAATGGATTGAAATGGCTCTCCGGGCCTTTGCTGAGAACCTTCCTGCTTTTGTAAGTCGGCACTGTATACTAGATAATGAGCCTCAACTAACGTGTTATAGGAATGGGAACAACAGGGTGCTCGCGATGTGATCAAGAGTACGACTCAGACCATGCAGCTCCTTATTGGACGTATCCAGCCTCTCATCGGTGGCATCCAGGATGGCTTCCCCACGGATCCTTTCCTGACCAACCTCGAGAGACCCAAGCTTGAATGGATTATTCGAACATCCGAGCACGTGCTTGACACGTTCGGTGCCCCTCGACGCTACGAGTAATCGAGGGCTGTTTGTGTACAGCTTAGAATTGTGGAGGAATGTGGTCGCCGATAACTACTCGGCGCTCAGATCAAGCTTTCGACTTGTCTAACGAAGTGGTCTGCGGAAGCGCAGACTTTGACGTGGGCTAGAAGTTGCAACAGCAACGGTGTACATGACGCTGGGAAGGGAGCATTTCGGAAGCATTCACGATTTGTGAATACGACAAAAAAGACAGAACATACATGTGCATTATCAGGAAGTTACAGATGTTTACGGCCTCGGGTCATGGTAAATGTTTTTCTTGCCAGCCTGGAATTGGGATCATGTTGCGGGCGTGCGAAACCTTTTAACGTGCATTGGAGGTAATCGGATACTTTGGTGCTTTGACTCGTTTATTTCTCTTCTTCTATTTTTACTTTAGTTCATTTCAAATCATTTCACTTCTTATTTGGGATGGAAATGCTATGATACCCCGGAGAAAGGGGAGGAGGGACAGGGACAGGATGGTGCGATGGCGGAGGAATGGACGAAATGGGGGAGCGGAGAGAGAAGACGATGTCTTGTTCTTCTTCCTCTTTGGTCTAGTTTTGATAATTTAATGTTTGAGTTGATACGGATACTGTCATGAGCTATGTCTAATTGAGTGAGATTTGACTTGACTCTGGTTACTGGATCTGATGATGTATCGAAACGGTTGAATATGAACAAGATACTTGTCAAGATAATCTCTGTGGCGCAGTTATATGGACAAGTATGATCACTACATGGACATTAATCGAGGAACGAGAACGAGAGCGAAGAACGAAGAACGAGACGTACATGGACGGAGACACCGGAACGTACGGATATTAATAGTGATGACAAGCTGCATGTTCTCGCCTCTCACCTCTCGGCAGACCAACCTGGCGCCGTTAATTAAGTAAGCCTTTAAGGTCAGACAAGCTTTTATAAGTGTATCAGACAGATCAGCCCTAGAAAAAGGGGTAGCAACCAAGTAGACTCGGCACGGGATCTGTGGTTCGATGTGATGCTACAATGCATCTGATTCCACTGATCATTTTGAGTCGGTACCAGGGCCGAAATGATATCAAGTTACACAGGATCCGAAATTAATATGGGCTCCGTTCAATAGTGGTGAGCCTCACTGTCTATGTCTTGGAGAATAGCATGTTGGTGATGAGATGATAGTCGTGCCATATCGGATCATACCAAGCTCCCAGTCTCCATATACCGAGGTTTCTAACCCGCCAAACTCCATTTCCTTCAACTCCGATCAGAGGAAGTGAAGCTCCGGCCTAGAAACCTCCGCCCATTCCGGATTTCGGACACGGGAAGCGTAGAGAATCTCGGGGTGGTATTGCAGACCGAACCGCCGGAGTTTCTATCTCAAACGGACGGGAAATCATGATAGGATATGCTTGACGTCAAGAGAAAACAAGCTTTTTTTTTCCCACAACGTCTTCTCCATAATGATTGTAATTTCACTGCCCAATCATCCATCGCCATGTTGGGTTCAGTGTAACCCTTGTATGTGTTGAGAAGATGATCGCGTGCATATTCACACTTGGCAACACGTCACGCTGGGTGGGGGGGATGCGCCGCTGTAGTCACTCGACGGCCAAGATTGGTGTTTGGATACATTAAGCTTCAGAGGGTAATATACTGGGAATAAAGATATAGTTAGTTGTGTTGGTTAAGCTTATTGCACTGTACCGTACCGTACCCGCATGGGATGGCTGAGGTGAGCTTACCTGTGTCTCAGCCACTGCAACACGTTTTTGTCTGTGAGATTATTGTGCTGCTTATAGAACCGATCGATATGTGGATATAGATAGATATTGAGATTTGGTCGAATTGGCTGTTATAAAGTCCGACGGCATCCGCGGAGGCTTTGGAGTCTTGGACTTGGAGGATAGATAGACAGTCAGTGTCCACAGATTTGGAGGAGCAGGGGTTCTTTTACTGTGAGAGCAGGGATATGTCGTCTCCTGCATGTGAAGTCTTGAGACAGCCATAGAATAGGTAGCATGCCCTGCCCCTCGAAGGGTCAAGCGCCGGGTGTGATTAGAGTATGTATTCCTGTTCCTGTTCTCCGATGGCAGTGAGTGAGTGAGTGAGTGAGTGAGTGAGTGAGTGAGTGAGTGAGTGACATGCAATATTGGGCTCTCTGTGTCTTGTGCTCTATTCCCTGTTTGGTACCACCCCCCAATAAGTTTCCTTGTCCGTGTAACTTACCTTGTCTTGTCTTGTCTATGCTTGGCTTGGCTTGCAGATTTGTTTCTTTTATTATCTACTTACTTATATCTAGGACTTTACTTTATCTTGTTTCTGTCACTTGTTCTTAAATCCTTCGTCCCTTCTTCCTTTCCCTTTTATGGACAGATCTTGACGGGCAGTTTTATATCACCCTCTTTTATAGACACAGTATTTTATTCATTCTTTCATCCTTATCATATATAATTGGGTTTACTATCTTATCCTATTTTATTCTGTTACTTTTGTTCGTTTCAAACATGGTTGTGGCTTCAAAGAACGTGGTCGAACCAGTGTGTAAGTCAATATCACACCCTAAGCTACCTACATCTCACTCACGCCTTCAAGTCATCGTCTTTGCATTCACTGTAGGATGTCTTATCAACAGACGACGAGACACTCACGTCACATACAACGAATCACTAGACGATGTTGAAGACCAACGATACGTCGACTCGCCTCCTCTGAAGCCCACTCTCCTCCCACACATCGAGCGCCCAGTTCGCAAGGCGCCAAACTTGTTCTTCATCCTGTTATCTCGCTTCTTCAATGCGTTTCCGTTCTTGGTAGAGATTTGGTACTGGAACTTGACATACTGGTACTTACCTCTCTCAGCACGCTGTCTTATACGTGTACTGACTGATGATTGTAGGATCTATCAAGGCCTTCGTGCACTATCAGCCAGAGCAATCGCAGGCAACGAACCAATCTTCACTCGCGCCAGAGACCACGCCATTCAAATCCTCACTCTAGAATCCTTCTTCGGCCTCGATATCGAGCAATACTTCCAATCATACATAATGAACCAGCAACCGTGGCTGATGCCCATCCTCGCAAAGATATACTACTCCCACATCAGCATCGGCATCCTCTTCCTCATCTACATCTACACGTATCTCCCACCCTCGACCTTTCAACGAATTCGTCGTACAATCGCCGTCGATAACGCTATTGCTTTCGTCATCGTAACGCTCTGGCGATGCTCGCCCCCGCGGTTACTACCGCAGCAATATGGCTTCGTTGATGTTCTACATAGTAAAGCTGGGGGGGCTAATGTCTGGAACAATAATCGGTTTCAGTTGACGATCGCTGCGATGCCCAGTTTACACTTTGGAACATCGCTTTTCTTTGCAGTTTGCATGTGTCGATTCTCTCCCCATCGATTCATGCGTGTACTCGCTCCTCTTTGGCCGACTGCCATGCTCATTACCATTGTCGCTACTGCGAACCACTTCCTCACAGATGCCTTCATCGGCGCTCTGGTTCCGTTGTTGGGCTGGCGTATCAACCGTCTTGTTCTTGTTCTTAAGCCGATTCAAGATTATATCTTTGCGCCGTTGATCAACAGGCTGGACCTGGTCGATTCTGATGTGCGAGTTGTTCCAAAGACTTTGTAATCATGATATAGAAAGTACGTGCACGAATAAGGAGGGTCAGGTGCTGGTTTTGTACATTACAAGGAGTTCTCACTTCTGGGTTCATGGGGTTTCTAGACACCAGATAACGCAATGGTAATTATAATGAGACCTCGACACAGCTCTCTAACCAGAATTGCTGGCCATGGATGTGCCTTGGTGTCAGACTGTGCTCACAGGTTATCCTGGTGTTACATCAGACGATAACCAGGCCAAAAACGAACGAACACGATATCAACGTAATGTAGCACAAATGACACTCACTTATATCAAGCATCTATCTATCATAATCCGTGTAGGCCTCTATTCTATTCCTTCTTGGAAACCCTCACCACAACCTTTCCAAAATGCTGTCCACTGCTCAGAAACTCCAACGCCTTATTCGCCTCCTCAAACCCAAACACCTTGCTCACAACAGGGTGGATAGAATGCCTCTCATAAAACGCCACCATCTCCTCAAACCGATCCTTGGGCCCGTTTAGAATCCCCTTGAGCGTCACATTCCTCCTCAGAGCGAGCACATTCACGCCCACTTGGCCCCCAGTGTCCTGCTCCTCTTCCTTGCCGGCGAGATAGCCCACGCAGTTGATCAGTCCGCCAAAGGCTACGGAGTCGAATGACTTGCGCAGTGTTCTCGCACCGCCTGTCTCGAAGATGATGTCCGCGCCGTGGTTCTGCGTCGCCTTCATCACGGGCTCTTGCCACTCCCAGTGCGTGCGGTAGTTGATGCCCGTGTCGGCGCCGAGATCCTTCTTCGCGCGCTCGAGCTTATCGTCGGATGAAGAAGTGATGATGACGTTTAGCCCAGCTGCCTTGGCGATCTGCAGCCCCGCGATCGCTACACCACCGGTGCCCTGAAGAAGAACAGTTTCCATCTTCTTGGTGCCATCAGCAGGCTCGCCGAGCGGTCGCATGCCGTTGATACACATCCAAGCTGTCACAGCTGCGATAGGGAGACACGCTGCTTCTTCGTCGGAGAGATAATCGGGTACAGGAACGAGAGCATCGGCTGAGAAGCAGCGATATTCTGTGAGTACGCCGGGGAGAGGGAGACCGAGACCGGAGGCCATGTCTTTCTCGGTGACTTGGCCTGTGAGATGGGTCTGGTTAAAGATGGACATGACGCGAGCGCCGACTTTGAGGTTTGGCGATGAGCTCTGGATGACGGTGCCGCACATATCGGAGCAAGGCACGAGAGTGTCTGTGTCTTGAATAGAGGCATGGTGGTTATAATCACCGTTGATAACTTCCAACAGTCAGTATCACCCTCTTTTTCCACATGACAAACAGAACAACGTACCTTCAGTATCGCGATAATTCAACCCAACAGCATGAACCTTGACCAAAACCTCCCCCTCCTTCGGCTTGGGCACTTCACCCTCCCCAAAAGCAAGCTTATCAAGGCCATCCTGACCCGTGGTCCACTGTCTATTCTTCTCAGGCGCCGGCATATTTTCGTCCTTTGATCTTCCAAACGGTAGGTATGAAGAGATAAAGCTCGCCATTATGAAGAAGAAGAAAAAACAAGAGAGGATATATAAATACGATGAACAGACGACGTCAACCATCAGTCAATGCTTCTCTTACAAGTGGAGATGACGTCGCTTTCGGTGGATGAGGTTTCAAAGTGGTCGCCCTATCAGAGGAGAGGACTAGATCGTTTCAGGTATCAACGCCCGTGATGCAGAAATGTCTTAATAATCAAGTCTTGTTGATGCTCGGCGAAACGTTATGAGTTGCATCATACGACTTGAACTTTTTCGATACAAGTTGAGTAAGAGTTCAAGATGAGCAGATGCTCGAGTTTAAAGGTACAAAGATGCGGGTCTCATGCGCGATTAAACCATCCATTGGGTGGTTATACATATCATCTACTCAAACAGCCAGCACATCACAGCACATCACTACTTGATCAGTACACTTTGTTCGCAAGGCGAGGCATATCTCATCTCTCTTTGGCGCTCTCTGCTCGTTCTCTTATTCGTGTTTACAGCTTCCTCAAAACATCATCTCCAGTCAACGATAAGTAGCCAAATAGCCCACACGCATCCCGTCCCAACACCCATCTCTAACTCTCCTCCAGTCACCGCGACCAGGCAGATCAAGAATTAATCAAGTGAGATCAGAATAATACCACTCCTGTACATCCATCCGTACATAAAAATAATAAAAATAAATAAAAAATAAAAAAACGGATAAACAGAAACTGTAACAGTAACAGTAACAGAACCATGAACCAAGACAATTCAACTGTAATGCAGATAACCAGATATTGTAACTTTTTTCTTTTCCTTCCAACGGGGCCGGGCCTTCGACCCAAAAAAATAACCCATGTTTCGCACTCGTCGTCCATCGGCCCCTTTCAGTGCCCCTTGGTCCAAAAGCCGGACTCGGGCGTCTCCAAATGTGTCGTCTTCATCGTCGCGGTCATGCCAGGAACAGCGCCTAGACAGAAATTATTTGATTTGATTTGGTGGGTATAGTAGTAGGTTGTAAGTCGCCGAGGCAACCCCTCCCATTCGCTGACGCTGAACAGCCTGATGAGGAGAAGCCGGTATAGCTGTCTAGACGTAACGTCGTAAAAGCGTCATAATCGTCAAGTGGTGGTGGTGATAGTGGTCGTAGGTCTTGTCGGGGGTACGTACGTCCTGAGGGTATTCCAGGTTATGCGTGCTGCCAAGTGCTTCTGTCTGTAGTCTGTAACCTTGTACATCTTTGGTTGCCCAGTTGTGTCGAAAACATTTGTGTATCCAGATATCCTATCCCATGCTCTCTCTCATCGGTAACTGTCATCATGTTGGCCACACGCACACTTCCTCGGGCCCCCGCAATCTTCAAAAAGTCATAAAACCGTTCCCACGTAAACTATATGCAATGGGGTTCAACAAGACAAGTGAAATTCCTGCCATCACTTCCCCAGGTATGTCGGTATTACAAGTCATAAAAGCAAATGCGATGCAAAATATCAATGCGTCGTAGTCATTGTCGTTAATCCGTAATGATACGCGCAGTTGCAGTCGGCGCCTGACATGCAGGTCGTCGAAGCCTAACCCGTCAAGGGGTGGCCAAGGAATCACGCTCAGTGATATCGCGAAGCGTTGGTTGAGCTTGAACCGACGCGCGCTCCGTTGTCGGACGAGTCTATCTTGTGTTAGCCAGTGTTCAATCGTTCCATGACTCGGTTGACGTACCACCACTACCGCGCGTGGCGTGGCCGTTGGCACGTCGCCCAGCAAATCCGGCATTGGTCTCCCACTCAGGTCCGCGAGGCTGTCGCTCAGGTGCTCCCTTAGAGCTGTTACCGGGGCGCTGGCTGCCAATAGCGCCAGGAGTGCTTCGCGCCTGGTTCTGCATGGAGCCAGAGTCATAGCCCAAGTTCAGGCTGTTGAGGCTGCTCAGAAGAGCCGAGTCATTCTTGGGTCCAGGGGTACCAGAGTTGCCGGGGTGGCCAGAAGGTGACATGGCACCTCCCATGTAGTCACCGAAGCGAGCAGAAGCCGAGCTACCACCCATGTTGTTCATTCCCGAAGGGCCAAGGTAGCTGGAAGAAGCCTGCGAAGGGCTGGGGGTGAAGGATCGCAGATCAGCAAAGCTCTTGGCGGCTCGAAGGTTGTTGGGGATGCCGTTGCCTTCAGGGCTTCCGGGAAGCTCGATAGTGGGACCCTGTCGACCCATCATGTGGGAGTAATTGCTGCTGGCAGCTCGTGTCTCACGGTCAGCAGCAAAGTCAAATGTAGCAGCACGGCTGAGGCCACGCTTATGCATGTCCAGGTTGGTGCCTGGCTGACTGTGGATATGGGCGGTGGGTGACGGCTGTTGTCGCTTCAGTACCGTGAGCTGGCGCGATTCGCCATCGCCCACAGACTGGTGCTCAAGGCCCATGTTGTGTGCGAGAATGTGGATGGATCGTCGATGCTCGGGAGCGATACCAGCAGGGAAGACCAAAACCTCCTGGGAATCGTCACGACGGAACATGACCAATTCAGTGTAGAACTGGAGAGTCTGGGGGTCGTTCAAATCAACATCGCCTGGCATGGGCAGTGCGGGAGACTGAACACGAGATGCCTCGAGCATGCCAAGGTGCGATGGTCCCCTAGCTTGAGACTGTGAAAGACTGCCGAGTGACTGGATGGAGCTCTGTTGGTGAAGCATGGGTGCACGGTGCTGCTCCTCGAGTTGGCCTCGTCGCTCTCGCTTCTCGCGCTCAATCCTCTCCCTCTCAGCCTCAGGGAGCATCTTCTTGTACTCGACGCGCAATTTACGGCCATGAACATCCATGCCATTCATCGCCTCAATCACCATGCGTGTATCCTCGGCAGACTGGAAATTCGCAAAAGCTAAACCTCTGAAGACGCCATTGTCGAAATGGTAGTTGAAGGCATATGGCTGAGGGAGGTGCATCTCAAGCATGATAGAAGCCAGGGTCTCTTTTCGAACGGCAAAAGGGATGTTCTTAATAACAATAGCTGTAGGGATAAGCTGGTCGGCGTCTGAGGTGTTTGATCGGAGATCAGTGGGTGAGCCGTGAGATCCGGGGTGCTCAACACGGAGATTACCATTTGACATGGGGTTGTTGTTCATGCCTCCTTGGTAGGGTTGGAGACCTCCATGGTTGCCATGAATACCAAGAGCGCTGTGATCGGTCCAGTTCTGTTTCTGATCAGACATAGTCATATAAGCTTTCCATTTTTTACATACCTGGGGAAGAGCCGCTCGTCGGTTCACGTTTCGTTGTCGTCCAGGGCCGTTCACGGCACCGTTGACTGTGGCGACTCCAGATGTGTTGTAGTTCCAAGCTTGGCCATTATCCAGCATGTAGCCCTGCATGCCAGCCATGTTCTCCATACCACGGTGGTTGTACCCACTTCCGATCCTGTCGGCAGGGTAAAGAGCAGATGAGCCTAGAGGAGCATCAAATGGACGTTGGGACTGGCGAGGTAGCGAGAGGCCAGCGAAACCACCGGCTGTAGCATAGTTCTGTCTCGAGTTCGGGGAACGATTGGTTGATGTACCATAGTCAAGGTAACCCATATCGTGCGGTTGCTGCGACATTGTGATGACGGGATCCAGCTTGGCAAATAGCTGCTGTTTTTACCCAGCAGTCGACTTCACCTGCTTTTCTTGAGGATTTATATCAAGCTGACACGTACAGAATGTGCAGTGTCAGGAATGCGGACGCGAGGGGGTATCGGGGGATGCGTAACAAGCAGTTAAAAATGCGGCATCAAATCGTTGGCTCGTGGGTCTCGGTCGTGAAAGCGGTGTAGCTAAGTTAAAGTTGAGGGTACCAGGCGCAGAAGAAACTGTCTATAAAGAGCTCAAGAAGAGTCGGGTGAAACAAGGTTCGGGGGTTCCGCCTCAGGGTCAATGACCACAAAAGTTTGTTCCGTGAGGTGTAGCGAGATGCCTAAAACAAGATTGAGGCCTCGGGCAACAAATGCGCGAAGACACTACGAGATCCTGGGTGGCGATAAAGCCGCACAAATACAGCCAGCACAACGAAGGAGGCCGAATGAACCAAATTCCTGTATTCGAAGATTTGGTAGAAAATGGCGGAGTAACGTCAAAGAGCGTTACTTAATGGTCGCAGTTCGATATTTCTGGGAGCCAAAGGTGATAGGCGGATGACCCTGGAAACCAGCGACGTCTCAAAAGTAGCTAATAAAAAGACTACTAATGAGCAAGAAATAGTCGCGCGAAAGGGGGAATTGGATTCGCGCGATGGCCTCGTCTCCTCGTTGGTGCAAAAAAGGTCGAATGGAGGTTTCGTAGACGTAAGGGCTGTTGTCTGTGGACGAACCAAATTGCGAATGACGGAGGAGGAGTAATCAAGGGAGGGAGACGAGACGAGAGGGGGAAGACGGAAGGGAAGAAGAGGTCGACTAAAAATCGGGGGAGGAGAGGGGGAGGGAGGAAGAGGATAAATGATGAGGTTTAAGAGAGAGAGAGAGAGGTTAGATTAGTTAGAGGTCAGAGGTAGAAAAGGGGACGGGGAGGAAGAAAAGATGGAACAAGTCCCAGTTAGCAAAATGTCCGGGACGTTCTCAGTGATGGATGGATGATCTGGAACGGGAAAACGGCGGACGGGAGACGGGAGACGGGGGTGTTGTAACCAAAGAAAGAGAGAGGATTGATTGATTGAGAAGGGGATTAATTAGGTGTCGGGTGGATGTGGTTGGGTAGGTGACAGCGGACGGCGAATAGTTTCCCTTCCCTTCAGGTTCTGTCCTGATTCTTTAGTTTTAGTTACCAGTCACAGCAGCACCAGCACCCGTGGAGGGGGCCCTTATTTTTTTCTTCCTCTTTGCCCTCCTGGGGATCCATGACTGACCTCCAATATGAACGAACGAGGTGGGATGGGGCGGCGTCGTTAGGACAGTGCCTACACTGTGATGAGCCACCTGAGGAGAACTGAACACCCCAAGCCCGGCGCAAATTGGTGGGGTTTTCAGCGCAGTTCAATTATTCTCCAGCTGTCAGAAGTCCACTGTGGAACCCCAGCATG